TTGTGTATTTGAATTTGATCTGGAGTAGTTATTTCGACTATTTGGTCTATTGTAGTGATTTTGTGATGAATTTTGCGTGTTTCTTCGTTCTGGTGATCTTCCTCTATAACTTGAGTTATATGGTGATTGATTTCTTGTATAATTTGTATTGTTCGGGAGTGGTTTTCCTGAACTGTTGTTGCTGTAGACTGTTTTGTTCGGTAGATTTTGATCTTTTTTCATGTATTGATAGAATGATTTATTTGGTTCTTTATATTTTTGAGGTTTATTTTGATTGTCTTGCTGTTTTTGTCTACATTCAGAAATACTATGTCCATATCGTCGGCAATAATTACACCATTTTTTGAAAGATGGTTTGCCTTTAAAGTTTGGGTGTTTTTCGTAAATATTGAGTATTTCAGTGATTTTTTCAACGAGGTCTGTATCTGATTCCTGTATATTGTTTATATTTGCGGAAGCTGTTTCAATTCTGTTAACGTATTGTAATTTCAGATTTTCCGTTTCTTCGAGTTTCATCGTGATTTCTGCTTGTTCTAGTTTGTCTACTAGTTTTCGAAAATCTAAATCGGGTTCTCGAATTGAAGAAGGATGGGATGCTCTCTTTTTTATTGCTATTTTCCTGAATTGTGGTGTTAAGGTCATCATTAAGATTTCTGTCATCTTTGTGTTTTTATAGTCATGTGTATTTAATGAATATGCTTTTCGAACTAGTGTTTCGATTCGTACTGCTAATTGCTTGATGGTTTCGTTTGGTAATCTGCGAATTTCATTACATAAAACTCTTTGTTGTTGTTTGTTTCTTTCGGAGTCAAACATTTTTGAAAATTCTTGTGTAAACCTTTTCCAATTTGATTTTATTTCTATAGGCAATACTGAAAACCATTTTTGGGCTGCGCCATCTAAAGTTGTTTGTATTAACGCTGTGCGTCGATGTATCCAGTTTTGATGTAGTGGCGTATTAATTGGTTCAGGTCCTATATTTAAAATCAAATTTGCTGTTACTGCATTTAAATAATCTTCTACAGAATATTCAGGGTCTGTTCCTGTGAATACCATTAAAGGTTTATTTGATGTTATTGATGATCCACCCATAAGGTATGGATTCATAGTCATTTGTAATGATTCTGCTGCATTTGGCATTTGAGAAAAATTTGAAAGTTGATTTCTTGTTATTTCGTGTTGTTGAAGATAATATGGGAGTGGTATTTCATTTTGCATTTGTGTTGGTTGGTACGAGTTTGCAATCATTGGGTTTTGTTGCTGAATTGGTTGAAAAGATTGTGTATTAATTGGGTTTTGTTGCTGAATTGGTTGTTGATTTTGTGTATCTATTGGTTGTGGAGAAAAAATTCTATTATATGTATGTGGTTTCTGTATTCCTTGTCCACGATATTCTTGATTATAGGGTGCAAATATATCTGGTTGTAAGAAATCATCATCTGAGGATAAATAATCCATTTGATAAGATGTTTGTTTTTTATTTTTATTTTGTTGAAAAAATGGATAGTTTTCACTACGATCCTGTGGAGGATGTAAATTTGTTTGGAAATTTACTGAATTAGGTGGTGCCATTGGGTTATCCCAGTTTCGAGATCTTGTATAATTACTAAAAATTTTTCGTGGTTGATAATTTGTTTTTGATGGATGTGTGTAATTATAATTATGGTCTGCAAAGTTGTTTCTAGTGAACGTTTTGCGTGTTTTTGGCGGTATTGTCATGGGTCTGTATGTTTGGTAATCCATGTGTGAATATTTTGGGGCAACCGAATGTTTAACGGTTGATTGTAAGGTTACCTGTGTTTGTGAAGGGTTTGTATTTCTTGGTGTTGTTAAGTTTGGACGTATTGGTGAAATACTTTGTTGTGTAGTTGTGTGTACGATTTCTTCATTTATGAAGTGTGATGGTGTCTGGATATCTTGTTGAGTAAGATTCCTAGTTCCATTGAGGTTTTCATTGTGTATGACTGTAGAGTTTAAACTATTATTTTGCATATCGGGTAAAAATGTATTATAGTTTAATGGTGTTGCATCAATGGTTAATGGTATTACTCTTACATAATCTCTTACATAAGATATCGTACTTATTGCTTGACTTGAGATTGATTGTGGGAAGTTTATGAATGCGGGATGAGACCATTCGGGGTCCCAAACATAGTCTGATTGTTCTGTAATGGCAGTATCATCGTTTGAGTTTTGGGGTCTAAAATTTTTTCTTGCTTGTGAAATTAAATCAATATTATGTGTGAAATAATCTATTATGAACCATGCCAAAATTTTTTGTAAGTCGTGCTTTGTATGTTGTGAAACTTCATCTTTCGTGAAATTTTCTTTAATTATATTTAGAAAACTAGAGAGTAGTGTGATTTCATGTCGTACTCTTATATGTTTAGATGTTTCTGTCGGTGAGACATTTGGTATCTGGACTTCGTTTTCTAATATCGAGATATAACTATATATTATCGCAAAAACTTCATTGGTGAATATGGAGTTTGCTCTTTGTGAGTTATGATATTGGATGCTTTTTATATATTCTGAGAATACTTTTGAAAATTCTAAATCAAGGTCGTCTGTTTGAATTATATATTTACTGTGATTCTGGTTTGGTGAGCTGAATTCTATGGAGTAGATTCCGTATTGTTGTGTTAGGTTACATATATCTTTTAGATAGTGATCGATAATTTGTCTTTTGATTCTTACATCTGGGAACTCTGTTTTACATGGACTGATTCCGGGTTCAAACAAATTTAAGAGTAAATTTTTGCAAAATATATGCTGTCCTCTATCAGTGGTTGCATCTACTATAAAGGGGAAGATATCATCATCATCTGGACTTTCTTCACCTGGGGTGTGCGTTGAGCTCATTTTTTCGTTCGATGACTGTTAATATGTAATTATCAATGTGTCTAATTGGTTGATTCCAATTGTATAAATGTACTGGTTTGTGTTTATACTGCTTTTTTATTCTTCTTTTTCCTCTTTTTGATGAATTTGAAGTTGTTTCTGAGTCAGAGAAATATAATTGATCGTGAATTGGGCAATTTTTATCTATTGATTCTTTTAGTTTATAAAGTTCGTCTAAACTGTTGGTTTCTGATTCTGAAAATGCGTTTCGATTTTTTGAAAATCTTTTTCGTGTTATTTGTCTTTGTTTAGTTAATATTTTTCTCTTTAGTGTTTGTCGTTTTGTTCTGATATATCCAACTGTTTGTGTGTGTGGTGTGATTACAAGATCGTATTTTTTGTTATCTATTTCACAATTGTGTAAAACGATTGTTTGTTTATTTCCTAGGTTTTTAAATGACATAAGGTTTAGGATGTCGGGTGCAAAAGGTTGTTAAATGATTTCTATTTGCTTAAACTGTTAGTCCTTACGATTTTTTGGTTAGCTTAACCTGGGTCTATTTGTTCAGGGTTGGAGAGAAAAGTATATCGATTCCGAAGAATGATTTTATACTTTCTCGTGGCTAGTATAAGCTAAGGTGTTAACTTACTTAATCTTACTTAAGGGTAGTGATTGTGTTCAGGGTTGGAGAATAGTAAATCGATCCACAAGGTTCAGGTATAATTAGAACGCGAGTAGTTCGTTAGATACTATTTTAAACTTACTAAGTCTAAGATTTATCCTGGGTCTGGTAAGAGGGGGGATCAAGTGAAGGATGAATAACCGAAGTTCTTCACTGTTTATCCTAATTTGAATGATTAGTTTTGTTCAAAAATTTCTGTTAGTCCTGGGTTTTTAGAAAGGGTTGGATAGTGAATCGACGTTTGAGGTCGTTAGACACTAGCTAAGTGGGTGGGGGAGAACAAATTGTTCTTTTTGATCCAAGGAGAGGCCTTGATGATCAAGTTTTAAATTTTATTAAATAGAAAATGATTTAAGATCCAAGGATAAGCCTTGATGATCTAATTTTAAAATTAAGTGAATTTAAGTTTAAATGATGATTTAAATTTGTGTAGAGAAAAGATTTAGTGTTTTTATGATATTAGTGAGCTTATGAATGCTGTTATGTTTAGGTGATGAAGCTGGAACAACAGGATGATTTATAATTACTAACCATTTACTGTCATGCTACTAATTTTTATTTGGATTTTTCAATAAATATTTTTCAAACATGTTTTGTATATTACTGCAGAATTTAGGAAAACGATCTGAGATCTTTTTATCAATCGTTATTGTATATTAATAATTTTGTTTAGCGCCTGAAATGATTTTGAACATTGACTTCAAAATTTATGTTTGCAAATGAAAATCTAAATTCATTGCTAGTAGTATTCTAAATACAAAAGTTTGTGTTGGCTTTTGCCGAACTATCATATAACTATATGGTAAGTTTCTACTTTGTCGTATGTCGTCTCTGGTTCGAGGTCTTCTTCCAATTCCGGGTAGTTCTGTTATCGTTCGGAATATTGGCTCTGATCTATTGAGTCGTAGAGACATTTCGATTAAATTATCGTCGTATAACATTTTGTAAATGTTTTGTCTAAATTCTAATCTATTATTGGTTAATTCTAAGCTATTAAGGTCTTGTTCGAGACTTATGGTCGCACCAGATGAGTTAGGACCGAAGTGTATAACTCATAGAGTATTTTCGGATAGGGTACACCGTCTGCTCGTCACGCTATCTTATTTTCGGCCGGATAGATTCGTGCAACTTCTTAGTCTAATACCGATCCTAATCTTACTCTTATACTATCTAGTCTCAGGTTGTTTAACTAGTCTCTGCTAGGCTCAATAGATCTAGGGTATACTGGTTTATTGCGGCTGCTGAAGTACTCGGGAGAGTTCAACTAATTTCTAAGTTAAATTCAAATCTCTCTGGTGCTGAAATTACAAGTAATTTCAGCACTTACAAATAAGTGGATTGTTAGTCAGATGGATCATGATTGGTTAATATTAAATACTTTACATTGGTAAAATATCTAATTTATCCAATCATAAAATGTAGTTTAGATCAGGTTCCAATAAGTTGACTAAAAAATTTCGAGTAAAATCCATTTACCTTTTGCGAGGTCATCCTGTTCTTTTTTGACAGTCCTACCAGCATTGGAGGTGTTGTTCATTTTGGACGATTTGCTTTTGGGAGTTTGTTGCTGTTGGATAACTTCAGCTGTCGAGATCAGAGATGATGACGAAGAGCCAGCCGCATCCGCTGCAATTGTAGCCTATCAGTAAAAGCACAGAGTCATTATTGGCTATTTTAGCAGCTTCAAGAACAGCAAAATGCAGTAAAACAATTCAAATCACATATGCTTTCAGTTTTTATATCCGAATCATTTGTTAGAGTTTCTATGTTTTATTCATAATGCTACTCCACTTGTATTTCCTCGTGCACAATTGAAGCATAAAAATCATTACGGCATAAATCGATGGCGTCAGGCCATTTATAGAAAACGCTTAACAATAAATAGAATGACAAAACTAAATAGCAAATTTTATACAATAGTTCGACCAATTTGAGAGAATATGCTATAGAGGGACCTCAACGGAAAATCCAGAGCCAAAACAAAAATAGCTAGTCGTCGGGCAAGTAGCACCAAATTTTTCTGCGATACTCATCTTCGCAAACCAACTATTAATAAAAAAGCGGAGGGAATTTTTGTTTTAAAATGTTGAATTGTGTTATGCTACAATACGCTGTGACCGAATATGTCAACTGCACCAAAGAACAATCAACTCACGGCGTCAGGAAAAACGATGGTTGGATCCTCCTTAAATTTCAAGTAGAGCTCCGAGATCATGCTAAAACAACAAAATGAACTAACTAAAATTGAAAAACTAACGGGCATTGATAATTTCAAAATCAGAATGATTAAACAGCTGACAATCAAAACAGAGTCAAATTTTCAAAGCACGACTCACGTCAACTTTTCATAAATGCAACCGTAGCTTATTCAAAGTTATTTTTCATGAAAATAATCGAAGCTCAAAATAATCGAATCAGTAAACGTACCCAAATTGAGGATCACTCGCATACTGTTTGTGCCACGATTCCACCAGATAAAGAATTTTGTTTTTAATCTTCGGCTGTTGGCCCTGAAAAAATTGTCCAATTGATCAAGCTATTAATTTTTCTGCGCTCATTTTGTGATATCAATATTTTCGAAAGTATTTTCTGCACTATGAAAGCCGCATACTGTAGAACTTATCAAAAATAGAAATTAAAACACAAACAATAATCCCCCATAGCTTTTATAGCTTTCAATTAAAAGGACAATCCTTAAATAATTAAAACCAAATTTTTAAAATAGGATATGCGTATTCAAACAAATACGTATGAATCGAAACACAAGGCAGGACGTTCCGAACAGTTATCATTGCAACAAAAAAAAATTAAAACATACATTTTTCATCAAGTGAGATAAAATCCACATGTTAAAAAGAAAGCAGTTAGAAACCGAAACAGCAAAAGTTGAAACTAATTTACAATTTCAAGATCGACAAAAAAGGAAGCAGGGGCGGATCTAGGATTTTCTCGAGGGGGGGGGGGGGGGGGGGGGAATTTCAGAAATTTTGTCGACCTGTTTTTTTAGGTCGACCGATCGCTCTCCCAAATTGCGTTTTTTTTTGGCGCGCGCTTTTCCTTCTCTAAGTAAGTATACATTGGCGCCGAAGGCGCCTTTAGAAAATTTTTAGGGTCCGTCACCGAATATGGATATCTCAAAATAGTACAAAGGGGTACCCTTTGTCGGCAGGGGGTGGAATCCCTGAGGGGGGGGGGGGGGGGGGTTTGGGGCGTTTGCCTCTCCTTAAATACGCCCCTGAATGGAAGGTACAGTATGCTGGCCAAGTACATCTTGAAATCTGATTGAACGTCATCAACTTCTTTCTACAGAATACCTGAATTTTCTTCTACCATTAATCACACAGACATTGTAAATCAATCTTCAGATGGTTGACCGATCTTACAAGCCGATCAAAAAACAAAGTTTCCGTGGAATAGTCATAGAAAAACATTTCATCATGACTTCGAGCTTACAACAAATCGGAAAAGTATTTAAGCTCAAGGGGGACGATTTGTAATTAATAGTCATCCCAATCTGTTAAACTCATCGTTTATTAAAAAACTCTTTTTTATGAGATCTGTTTTAATGGAGACCCAATTTGAGAAGCATACGTTAGAATAGAAATAATACTACTTTTACAAAGAATTACTTTAACGGATCCAAGCTATTTTTTTTATCGTTCGATTCACGACTAAAAGGGCTTTAACATAATATGTCACTCAACCTAGTCCCATAATTATCTGTGGTACCTGATTTTGCACGGAAAACCAAAAAAAAAAACACATCCGAATAAAAAGTTTCTCCCCTTTTTCGATGGTCGGAACAAAAAAAAAACGATCATCATGACTTTTAAAAAGAAAATACAATCGGCGTGCTAAGTCCCGATGTAAAAAAAGATGAGTTCTTTATTTTTTTTTCACTGCGTCGATTGCGCTCATTATTCTCATATTCTCCATCAGTGTACAAGACGTAAATTTCTCCCATAAATAACACTATTTTAACAAGCGTCTCGCAAAATTTTTGCCTAAACGACCTAAACAATTATCGAAAAACATTTTTCATTTAAAAGCGAATTTACACATAACTAACAAAAAACGTCGGCCAAAAAAATCGATTTACCACCGGAAATGGCGTTAAGGTTCATGATGTATCACAGCGATCGATCAAGAGTTTCCGACAAAAAATGATTGATCAATGATTCATCATCCTATACAATAAATTTGCCAATACGAATGAAATAAGCTTGTGTTGATTGGTACGCTATATTCAATGAGGATGTTTTCGAATCTCAAGCGACATTTTGAATCCAGAAATAGCTATCTCTCCTCCAGTTATTTCGGTTGCTGATATGCCACTCGATGCGACTGCCAAAGCTACAGAAACAAGATCGTTATCGAGTGCACACGATGCATCCTGCAAAGCATTCAAGATTTTTGTCAGATCCACCTCTTGCATCCAAAAAAAAACACAATCTGGCTAGTTTTTATTCAAATGATTAAAAAGCTGCTCGCAGAAACCCCACTTTTTACTGTTGAAACAATTTCCAGTTTCATCGAAGTTCAAGGTACTTTTTGAGCTCAACAAAACTGAGTCATACTGTAGCTTTCTGAGATCATACCGAATCCATCATACCAAACATATCAAATCCATAAATTTATATACAAATGGTACCAACGCTGCAGCATTTAAGGTTCTCTGCAAATATTAATTAGGAAATCACGAGAAAATGGTGAAATAGTTTAAAAAAAACAAAGGCCCCAGGATGCTGCTTTCTGATACGACACTGGTAAGCGAAGCAGTTTCGGAGCATGCCTCTACAGCATAATAGCCAATCATTCACGTTTTTAATGGAAAAATCGTAACTGACACTATATTTGAGTATTGAAAAAAAAACAGAACACCTAAGCAAATCGAAATACCTTTTTAGACTTCCTCTACAATTTAAAAACCGAAAAATATCAAAAATGTCTCTAGTAAAAAAAACTTCAAATATTTTTCCCAAATGAAATGATCTTGAGAAAAAATATGCAAAAAAGACTATTGCCAGCAGTATCTGGCAAAAAAATCTTGAAACGGTCAATAAACCGACAAAACGTGGGTAAGCGACCATTGAGCCGAAAAAAATCAATCAAAAGTTTTCAAGCTACACATACGTCAGCGCATTCAAAATGAAAAACTATTATCATCTTTGTAGAGACGCAATACGAGGTAGCCAAGCCGATACAGAACTAGCATAACAACAAATTTACGCAATTCAAATCATAAAACAATTTAGAACAAAACGGGATTTGGGATTTTTAATTGAAATTATGCTCGAAATCTATACGGAAACAAATAACTCAGTGATTACGTGAAAAGAGTTGTGACACTGAAAAAAATTTCGCGTTCTGATTTGAAAAAACATGCAAATCAGGCGCATGGAAAACTAAAAGCCATTAAAAGATTTAATAAATCGATTGATTTTTGAAATCTTTTTTTTTACAGATAATTGCTGCAAAAATGCCTGTTTTCATCTTAGATTTTTTGCTTTCTTTACTGTCGCTTTCCTGTATGTGTAAGGGCATTTGGCAAATTTCAATAGCAAGCTGATGTGGACGGTTTCGAGGAATATCGCATTTCAAGTGAAGACAGGGTAACTTCGGATAACAAAGAGTAAAAAAAGAATGCGATTGATTTTCTTTTCACTGACAGTTAGCTCTACAATCAATATTACTACTTTGGCTGCTAATACTATGCTTGCTTTTTTGTTCAAACTTTCGAAGAAAGTGCGGATTCTTTATGCTTGAGGCAGTTTTTTTACCAGTAAAATTTCGACTTTTTAACTAAACACTTTTGACGGATTTTTTTTTACAATGTGAAAGATATTGTTCTCTGGGGCTCACATTGAAAAACAAAACGCGCGATATAGTTCGTTCTATAAAAGTGTAGCAGCAACTTAAATGTCGATTATTTCATAGGATCTTATAATCCAAAGAGCTTGTGGTCGACAATAAAGAGCAGTCGGAACATTCAGTGCTCTGCCCTGATATACGAGCAGTCTTGTTTCAGTTCAACTTTGTTTAGTGAGCTCAGCAGCAAGCGCAATCCGGGTCAGTCACTCGCCAATCAATTCCGGAAAAACCAATTATTTGTGTGTCGGCTTCAGTCCTTTTCGTTCTTGCAAAGACAGCTTATCTCAAAGAACACTCAAAATTCGGAAAAAAGTTTATAATGGTAAAAAAACAGCGCCGAATTAAGACTCCAGTCCCAGTTGAAACTTTTGAAGCCAAAGTACACAAACATAGCCAACTGACAGTTGGAAAAGAGTGATGAACGCAAGAAAACTGCAAAAAAAATTGAATTTCGAAGAAAAAAAAATAGTTTTTGGATTTCGAAGAAAAAAATGGCCTTAAAGTTCTTTGAGTTTGTAGAACAATTTACGATGGACATTTTTTGTTAAAATCAACCCAACTTGAGAAAACTTGATCAATAGGCAAAATTTATTTCGCTGGAAAATCTGGTAATTAAATTCCATTTTCGAAATTAGAAGTCGATCACGCTATTCGTGACCTTTACAATTTTGCTGTTCGATAGTGGAGTTTGCATTCCTTTAAACAAAGGAAATGCACTGAAATTTGAAAAAAATCACAAGTCAAACCGCGAAGAATCAAAATTGAGCTTGAATAAAATTTGAGACCTTTTCCTGAAAAAAAAACAAAAAAAAACCAGCAAGACCTATGTAAGAGTACTCACTAACGTTCATTACTCTTAAAAATCATGTTTAAATCATCGAAAAAGAATGGCAAAAAAATTTCCAGTGTGCAAATTACACCAAAAACGTCACAATGAACAAAACCCCTAATTTAGAGTCAGCGATAATAAAAATCCAAGAGGGCAACGAATTTTAACTAAGAAAGATAGAGCAGCCGCAAATTCGAAGCATTCCAAATTATACATTTTCGAAGCTTTTCCTATGGTCTTTCACCTCTAGAAATACACTTAAACCTGTGAAAAAAAAACGTCTCATGTGATCATAAAACTTATGTGAGCTTTTCCATCTACATTAGACAGAATTCAATAATTTTTGAGAGTTGCAGGTTATGCGGTGTATGACAAGGAGATGGGTCTGATCTAGACAGTAAACTAACTAACTAGTAAAACAACAAAATGAAGGCATTTTGGTGGCTAATTGAAGGCATTAGCTGGTAAACAAATAATTGTTCAACAAGTTGCTTGCCCTTAAAATAAACGAAGAGAAACTAACTAAAGTAACGAATAGTAAATCAAAATTAGGCAAAATTTTTTTTCAAAATGGGTGCCTTTCTTCTGTTTGTTTGCTTTACTGTCTCTCATAATTGCTTATTAAGTTCACTGTCTGGATCAGACCCGTCTCCTTCACCGGTTATAATTACGATTACAACGAAAAACGAAGTCCATGACGCGATGAAAAAGACCATGATATGACAGATCAATCGAGAAAACTCAGAATCACAGACGAGAAAAGGACAACAACTGAGCTTTCTGGCCAATCTTTGACTTTAAATTATAAAT